GGCTCTTTTAAATGTGCTTTGCTGGAACTTTTTGTAAGGAATTTCAGATTGGACTTTTAAAGGCCTCTTGAGGCCAGAAAGCCAAGTCAGACTTGCCATCAGGTTTTGCCTGTAGTACCTGTAGATTTGGGTGAATTCCTCTCTTCTCGAGGTCCTCAAGACATCTTGAGGTTCCTGCACCTGCCAGGAAGTGATCTTCCTTAGTCACCTGGTCAGGCTGCTGGGAACCCTGTAAGCAAGGTACCAGGCCAGTTCTTCCAAGGGGCTTTTTTGGCTTTATAAAGTTAATCTTGGTTTCTTAAAGTTGTCTGTTCATATCTGAGTTTACACACATGTCCCTTAGGTATGATGTTCCAGTTAAAGCTTTGGTAATATAACTAGTGTTTTTAATTGGTCTTCTTACAAGGAAAGCAGATTCTTATTGAACTTGTGCAAATAAACATACTGCCATGAAATATAAAAATAGTCATTGAGAGTTTTTAAATTCTGGAGGAATCAGGTAGAGAGAAAGATAACGTTTCAGTTCTTCTTATAAAGGCAGTCATTTACTAAACTGTTGTCAGCTTAAGAGAAAAAGCTTAAAACACTTTATCAACATTTGAAACAGAAAGCCACAAAATCATCTTCTTTAGTTTACTTAATCTTATATATTTAATACTTGTTCTGCTGAAATCTAGTTCTTTACTAGCTTAAGAGTAATAAAACAGTGACTATAAATAATAAAAGACTTACAAAGGACAATGGTTAAAGATCTGATGAGAGCTTACTGTAAGACAGTTGACATAAGTAAATTCTGATATTTCTGTAACAAAACATTAAGTAACAAAGTTTAGCATTATTCCTTTTGACAGTGCTTTCTAGGTAATTAAGCAGGTAATTATATATCAGATAAATAAGCTAAATTAGCCAAATACTTTCTCCAGTAAGAAAAAGTTCCTCTGACATGTTCCAGGGGCCCTCTGGAACATGTCAGAGTTAACTAGATGTAAAAAGTACCTTTTTGAATGTGATTTTGGGAAGTTGTTAAAAGTTTTAAGGCACTTGCTTAAATAGGATTATAGGTTGCTATGAAGCAATACTTATCTATTTAACCAGAATGACAACAAAATACCTCAAAGCAAATAAAGGTTGCACAGTTTTTAGCAAACTTTTTGCTTTTAGTTTTTTTAATATTAAGATCTCATTTTCTTAAATACTCTGACAACTCATTGAGACTTTAAGCATGAGAAACTGCTTTGATAAAACAATTAGAGAACTTTTTGCAATCTTTCAATATTAAGAGCAGACTAACAGTTAAGAGAACTTTGTCTTTTTAACTGAAAAGAAAATTCTAATTTTGCTGTGTACTTGATATCAAGACTCACTTGCTTTAATTTTATATAGCATGACCATATTAAATTCTTCCACAAACTTTTTACAAACTTTTTACATTTAGATTTCTCCCTCTAAATAAACAGCTGTACTTTAGAACAAAGTTAGTTTCTTTTATCAAAAGACACATTCTTTAGCATGCAGAAATGTTTTCCTTATTACTTTAGGTGGTTTTAATTAGAACTTAAAACATGTCATGGTGCGGGGAGGCTTGATACTTACTAAGGTAATGAGTGTATCACGTGTTGTGGGATGGAACTTGGGTCAACTGCTTCTCCACGTTGGAACCAGGTGGTTTTGGCTGGTCTGTCATCCAAACCCTCACTCCCCACCTCCTGCAAGGACAGGTTCCACGGATGGAATGGGTAGAATGTAGGCATCCGGCCCAATGTAAACACTGGTGGAGTCCCGGTACCCTCTGTAAGATAAGTTCTAGCCAAAATAGCAGGCGATGAGAGTCATCAAAGGGCCAGGCTGTTTATTTGAGTGCAATTTCCGGGTGATATTCCCCCATCTGGATATCACAGGCCATGGAAGTCACACTTAGCAGGGCAGGCAGTGAGTTTTTAAGGAAGGTAGGGGGAGGCAGAGCTTAGATTCACAGCAGCACCAGGATTGGCTAGCCTAAGGTGCATTTTTTCAGGTTGGGAGGGGGCAGCAGCTGGGGACTTTTTCAGGTCATAAATGTCTGACGTGCTCCCCCCTCCCCTCAGTGCCTTCAACCTTACTTACATTCCAGCCTTTTGGTCATAATGGGCGACAACTTGATCTGGCTACTTCTGGCTGACAAGGGGCGTCATGGGGTGGGGTTTTCGTAGCATGTAGTTATATTGCTCTGCAAATATCTTCCCTTGCTTTCTCCAGAGGCTCTCACTTTATTCTGTCTAAGCTTATGGTCCCTGTCTCATTTTCCCCTCTACAGATAGAGCCTCTAGCTGCTGCCAGGGAAAAGGGGCAATGACCACTCCGGCTGCTTCATACTGAGAAGGGGTGCAGTAAAGGGTGCAGCTAAGTTTCTATCACTGGTCAGTTGAGAGGGCCTCAGAAGGTTGGCACTTCTGGAAGTACAAACTTGATGAGATTAAGAATGCATGGCTGAATATGAGAACTAGAAATATGAAGAGTCTAATTGAGAATCATAGCCAGGTATCATGGGAAAACTAAAATTTTGGATCGAGTTTACATCTCAATGACTAGTATTAGGATTTAGTATAGATAAGACTGCATTATTGAAACAATATTTTTCTCTAAAATCACCCTCTTTTATTACAAGTCACCAATAAAGAAAATAATTAACAGTTGGCTTGATTATTTGCATAAGTGCAGCAAGAAGAGCAATTGATTACATAGGCTCTTTTAAATGTGCTTTGCTGGAACTTTTTGTAAGGAATTTCAGATTGGACTTTTAAAGGCCTCTTGAGGCCAGAAAGCCAAGTCAGACTTGCCATCAGGTTTTGCCTGTAGTACCTGTAGATTTGGGTGAATTCCTCTCTTCTCGAGGTCCTCAAGACATCTTGAGGTTCCTGCACCTGCCAGGAAGTGATCTTCCTTAGTCACCTGGTCAGGCTGCTGGGAACCCTGTAAGCAAGGTACCAGGCCAGTTCTTCCAAGGGGCTTTTTTGGCTTTATAAAGTTAATCTTGGTTTCTTAAAGTTGTCTGTTCATATCTGAGTTTACACACATGTCCCTTAGGTATGATGTTCCAGTTAAAGCTTTGGTAATATAACTAGTGTTTTTAATTGGTCTTCTTACAAGGAAAGCAGATTCTTATTGAACTTGTGCAAATAAACATACTGCCATGAAATATAAAAATAGTCATTGAGAGTTTTTAAATTCTGGAGGAATCAGGTAGAGAGAAAGATAACGTTTCAGTTCTTCTTATAAAGGCAGTCATTTACTAAACTGTTGTCAGCTTAAGAGAAAAAGCTT